TGGAAATATGTGATAAATCAGCCTGCCCCAGCTTTTAAGTTTAACCAGACCTTAAACAATACGTGCAAGACATGCTAAACTATGTGTTTTCTTTGGTTTAAAGGAGGTCTGTCTGAGCCTTTTATTTGTCTATATGCTTCCCCAAACTTGCTATATGTGTTTTGATTGTCGCCTTAGTATTTTTACCTTTTGAAACCACAAATAAGCCAAACATCCCCTCCCTTTAGGATTAGTAGTCCCAAGTACCTCCGGGACTGATAGGACTGGGGCGTGTAATAGCATGCAATAAGTAAACGAGACCATTCCGCGCTTTAATACCTTAACGGGGTGAGAAAGGGTAGATATGGATATGATGACCACGCGATAACATCACGCGTAAGAGTGATTACCGGATGTTGTGTGGGGTGATCCATATTATTAATAAACCTAGGACCCCCTTCCCTTTGTTTCTTTGTTTCTTTTAAATCTTTTAAAACATTTCTTTTAAGAAAATCAACTCTCTTTAATGCTTTCCAACTTTATTTATTTCTAACCTTTATGTGAAAAATCCCCTCTTATTTGAAGTCCTACTTGTCTATATGTTATTTGTACCTTAAGTCATAACAATAGCTTGGCCGGGAACCACACTACTGGATTCTGAGGGGTGCCTAACACCTTCCCCTTGGAATAATTTTAAGCCCTTACCCTATCTCTGGTTATCCAAAATCAAGCTCTTCTAAAAGTGTCCTAATGCACTTAAATCATTAGGTGGCGACTCTTCAATTCCATTAAACCCAATTCCCAAAAGGGAACGAGTTGTCTTCCCAAATGTCATAAACCCGATTTCGCGAGAAAAAGGGGGCGCGACAGTATTGTCCACAGAAATCAAGGATTACGGGGTCTATCGATAGCGAGGATAGTTCTACCGGACCTAGGGTAAAAGGATATGTGTATCCACTGAGGAAACTCGGTTTGTGTGTCGTTATATCTTCCTCCCGAGAAGGAACCTCCACTTGCACCACCTCTTCCCAGCGGCAGTCGGCTTTCACTTTCTTAGTGTTGTTTATCAGGCTAATGTATCGGGACATGGGTTCGCGCAGCCCCGGCTTCGAAGAAGGCTTGTCAACCGTGAAATTGGAGGATGTCTCACAGGGTCCGGGGATGCACTCCTCAAGACGAGGAGGCACTATGGCCTTGTCCTTAAACGAGCGTAAGGGCGAAGAAGCTTTATCACCTTGAGGAACAGTTCTAGAGGTCTTCACCATTTCTACTGAAAGATTTCAAAGGAAAAGAGAAAAACTAGATGAGAAACGAGTGCAGGAAAGAAGTAAGGAGAGTTGCTGAAAGTTCGGAGATATGGTGAAGAGTAAGGAGTAAGGTATTGGAGTATTTATAGGGGCCAGTAATGCGCATTGGGGAAAATTAAAGGACGGCCAACCGTCGTAATCAGTTCGAGGCTTTTCGAGAGCCTTGCGAACGTGACTTTTAAATATCCCTTTTTGTCACATCATTCGCTTGTGTGACGTAACTGACAAAATGGTGGAGGCATTGAAGAGCTGGAGAATTCAAATCGTTCCTTGTTATTTCATTCCAAGGAACACGGGGACTATCTGTATACGGCCAAAATTGGAGAGTTTGACTTTGGGGCTACTGTGGCACTCCACGTCCGACTTCGAGGAGCTCGAAGTGGGATTTGAAGGCAGACCCCGAGGTGCTTCCATCAAGGGGGCATATCGAAGGTCAACATCGGAGCAGCTCAAGTCAGTGATTGTTATGAAAAGGCGGGAAACCCTCGAGGGCACGCGATGAGAACTGACAGAGTTTGCAAGAATAGTACAAATCCGTACCAAGCCGTTGTACAGCTGTACTAGTAGCATTTCTTCGTCATTTATTAGACATGTACTGTGTTGGGATTCACCCCTCCAATATAAAGGAGACCCTTATCATTTTGTAAGAACACGATACATTAATTTTTAATGCAACATTCTCTGCTCTTGCTTAAACAATTGTTCTACACATTTATTGCTTACTCTTTCATTGTTCATTTATTGTTCATTCATTGTTGTTCATGTATTGCTCATTATTAACCGCAAAAGGCCATATTTGAGGCTTCATTATCATTATTTATTCATCAATAAGCTCACTACCAACTGCCCTAAGCAAGCCTCGAAGCCCCTGCTCCGGCCAGCTCGAGGCTCGGTTTTGTGAAAACTTTGGTTTGCTTTCCTTATTCTCTTTATTTACACTTAGCATCTATTGCTTAACAACTAGTATTAAAATAAATCACGTATTTTTAGAAACACAAAATCAAATATAATTTTCATTACCATTTCGAGGTAAACACAGCTGGAAAAGGAAAATTTTCGAGCTCTAGCTTATTTTACTCTATTTTTAGTCCTAGACTACGCAAGGAGGTGATTTTTAGAGGATTTTCACCCCTAACTTCTAAGGTTATGATTTTAACTTGTTTTTGATTTATTTCTATGATTTTTCATAGATTTTCATCCTTAAATCTAGGATTTTTAAGAGTAAAAAATGAAATTTTGTATAGAAACTTAAGAGATTAAATTTTAGAGATTTAGACTTCAATTTGAGGTTAGATCTTGAAGCTAATCACATATTTGGACTCGGGAAAGTATGGGTAGTCGGGATTTGGTCTTGATTTTGTATTTCGACAATGTAGGCTGGAGTTAACTTGTTGTTGACTTTTCTAAATTAGGTAAACAATTTTTGTACTTGTAGAGTTCCTTAAGCTTGTTTTGACCTATTTGAGTATTAATTGACTAGATTCAAATTGTTTGGAGGCTTGTGCTAAAGGAAAAGTTGTATTGAAGAGTTGATTTGTTCCGAAAAGAGGTAAGTATCTTGGTTAATATTTATTTGAGAGAATTAGGTGGTACTTGGGTCTATTTTCTACGTGTTATATGTTTGTGGGCGGCATAAATGCATGGTGACGAGTATATATGTGTTTTCCATGGATAAAGTATGTGGGTAGAATTAGCCTTATTCATGTCTTGTTTGCTTCATATATATTGTTCTTTTATGCTTTAATAGTTTATGACACGACTTGATTATTCACATGCTTGTTAGTGATTATGTTTAAGATTTGGTTGAGATACTTGGGCACTATAGTTGTTAAACACATTGGCTCGTCTATGGGTGCAAAGGTTATGATTATCTCTCACATTGTGTGTTATGTTTGATCACTCTTGTTGATATTGTTATGCTTCTACCTTGCTTGGTACTGTTTTATATATGCTTGACGAAGAAGAGTGGATTGCACGAAAGGTGATCATGTGCTTATGAGGAAGAGTGATTTATGCACAAAGGGTATTTCCGTACTTCTTGACATTCTTATTATTATTGCACGATGGGTATTTTCATGCTGCATATATATATATATATATATATATATATGTGTGTGTGTGTGTGTGTGTGTGTGTGTGTGTGTCTTAGAGATAGAAATATCTTAGATTCTTTAACTCTTAATGTTAAAACAGCCAATTATAAAACCAAAACTGGATCCTTACCAGTAGTGATTATTTATAAAATACAGTACAAAGCCATGAGTTCTGCCTTTAATACTGGAGCCACGAAAACCCTCCATAAAGGAGAAATTGTCTTTTCAAAACAGATCTACAAAGATCTCACCTGTCAATACCAAAACCCATTTCTTGGAGCCAAGTTTCTCTACCACAAAACTGGTTACTACAAGATGCCACTCAAGCTGAAAAATCGAAAAATACTACGGTCTCTCAGATCCAATAATATTCTAGCGGATATGTAGCCATTTCCTTCCAAAGATCCCTTAGCCAAAGAGAGAACCAATTCATAAAGTTGGATAACTTTAAGAATTGGTGACAGAAATATATATATATATATATATATATATATATATATATATATATATATATATAGAGAGAGAGAGAGAGAGAGATGAGATTATCTCTCGCAGGGTATTTTCGTGCCGGTGAGGATGCAAGGTAAATGCACGAAAGGTGTTGCCGTGCTATTGATATAATATCTTTTACTCATTTCTCTCATGATGCTGGATCGACTGAGTTATTTTCATAGATTTTGTTTCACCCTCTTGGATCGAATGTTTTTAGAAAGGTTTGGTTCCGATATTTGATAAAATATGATCGTTATTTATTTTAGTTGATCGCTTTATTATTTCTCGTATTTATTCTTTTTTATTTCTCTTTCTTATTAACTGTATAGGTTTATAAGTAGGTGTCTTGTCTTAGCCTCTTCACTTCTTCGTCGAGGTTATACTCAACACTTCCTGAGTACATGGGTCAGTTGTACTTGTACTACACTACTGCACTTCTCATGCAGATTCAAGCATTGGTTCCGCAGAGTCCCGAGAGGTGTTTAGCTTCGACATTTTGGAGACTCGAGGTAGTGCTGCATATCCGTTTGCAGGCTCGGGAGTCAGTTCATTATCTTCACTACTGTTTATTTGTATCAACAATATTGTATTCATTTCAAACTTTGTATTTAGTATTTCATAAAGCTCATGCACTCAATAATTCTAGTGTTGGAAGTTATGTAGACAGTTGTCATGGTATTAGACTTATTATGTATATTCAGGAGCTTATTCTCTTTATTTATGATATTATGGTGTTGAATGTCTAGTTTTGCTTCTTTATTTTACTGTTAAGTATTGAGTTGCCTTGCAAGTGAAGTTAGGTACCATCACGACCTCTTCACTGAGATTTTGGGTCGTGACAGTAACTCTGTTTTGTAGATTTCAAACAGTTGTATTTTTCACCGTCGTATTCCTATTCTTAGTAGCTAACACCTTGTGACACTAATTCTTAGGATAATTTGTATTAAATTCTGCATTTTAACTTCATTATTATACGATGATCTTTAGCTTGACTTATAGTTGTGTTGGTTGGTTCGCCTTAAATGCAATCACGACATAGTGGGATTTGGGTCCTGATTGATATCTTAGGTGATCTTACATTTGCATACAGGAGGAATCCTCTTTCATCTAATCTAGGAGAAGATGGATGCACATGTACAAAAATCCCATTTTTCGTAAGGTCATGAGCCTGTACGTTCATACCCCCATGGAAAATGAGGAGGTAAGGAACCATTTCCCCTCGTTGTACAGCTCTTCTCTTCCAAAATCCAAATATACAGGTATGAGCCATAAGCTAGATTTAACAAAAAGAAAATGACAAAAGGTTTAAATGATATCTTTGCTATTTCGACGAGGCTTTGGAAAATTTTAATAATCTCCTTCCATCTCCAACAATTTCCAGATCTTGCATTACATGTCCACGTCTGGATGACTGAGGGTTCCCTCTTGTACTCTTGTTGCATTACACAGTGTCCATTTCTACTGACGAAGAATGGAATCCATTTTTTTCTCTCATTTTAATTGATGCATGAGGTGCCCACCCTGGTTTTGCAGGGAAAAAGAGAAGAGTAATTAGAAGATAACTAGCATTGTTAATACTGAACTAAGAGGATCACAATAATGAATTCCATTGTTGCAGACTTTAGCATGTACCATTGATATCATGAGGGAATGGGAAGAACAGCAGGTAGCATAACGAGGCAACCACAGTTCCTGAAAAAAAAAACAAATGAGATGCTTCACAGCACTAAAGGTCAGCCCGGTGCACTAAGCTCCCGCTATGTGCGGGGTCCGAGGAAGGGCCGGACCACAAGGGTGTATTGTACGCAGCCTTATCCTGCATTTCTGTAAGAGGCTGTTTCCACGACTCGAACCCTGACAGGCTAAAGGTTTTTCACACTATCAGGTCATTTAGCCAAGGACATGCAATATCCATAAGTTGGCAACCTGCTACAACTGGTTACATGATACTAGTAGTAGATGTTCAAAATTATCTGGTATACGAGCCAAAATTGGTTTCAAAACAATACATCAAAATAGTGAATCCATACAAGCACAGGATAGTTGAACCAACCTATAATGGATCCAGTGAATACATCTGTCCAGTGATGCCAATAGTCATCAACCCGAGAAATTCCGACTAATGCAGCAAACAGTAAAGGAAGCAGAACAATGCAGAGTTTTGCAGCATGGCCTCTTCTGTCAAAAGCCTTCACTTTTCCGCACAGGTACCATGAGAGGAATGCAAGGCCAGCAAATGACCCTATATTTTGTCAACCAAAAACTTACTAACCATTATTAACTGAAATTAGAAAAAGAACAACAAAAACGAAGACTATGAGGAAAAAACGGAGAACTACTGACATGAGGTATGTCCACTGGGAAAGCTTTTATATCCTTCTTTCACAATCTTTGGGTCTCCATGACACTTAACATCCCCATTAGCTTGAAAAGCCTGTGCATGAATTGGGAAATGTATCTTTAAGCAAAATTCGTTTAAGAGTTGAAAACAAACTTTTTGGATTTAAGTGTTATGTTACGACAAGCTCGCAATAAAAGACGCACTACAGTGTAAAAGAAGAAAAATTATACAAGATTTATAAGGTTTGGCTGATATGTACATGTTCTTGGGCAAGACAAAGAGAAAACTCTACTATGATGAAAGCAGGCAATACAATCTCACGAAGTCTTGACTTCTGTTCCTAGCACAGACCTCACATAATATTCACATAGGTGGTACCACAGACATTTTTCGGTTAATTATTTGGACCCCGTGAAAAACATTATCTACATTTCAAGCCACATTTTAGTATGCTAAAGTATGAAAAAGGAGAACATACCTCAAATCCATCAGGGAAGCACCTATAGTAGAAATTTGGACGTGGTCGACCAACAGCATCTTTGATACTATCGGTGATTACTGCAGCCACTAGGACCGAATAAAAGACACCTACACTTACAAGAGCAAACTGGTCAATTTCTTAGTATTAGCTAGAACTAAAATCCAAACAATAAGAGACTGCTTTTTTCCTTATAAACATCAAGAAAGCGCGCTCACCCAAAATCGCATGATGCAGATCATAAACATCCCTCCTGTAGTGATAGTAAATGAGAAATATTGTGCATGGCAGAACTACTGCAAAGATCTGTAATTGATTGGAGGTAAAGGAATTATTGAGCTTTTAAAGCCATAAAAGTAGTACAGTTTAACTTCAATACACTATTGGCAGTGTAAAAATTTTCTATGCTATCAGGTCACATTAAAGATAGCTACAAGTAATAATCCATAATAAGTGAGATTAATAACCTGAAAAATAAGGCACGCAACTTGCTAAAACAGGTCAAAATACACGGAGAGTATAAAGTTTATTCACACAGTTATTATATAAGTGTTAAATCCAAAGCAAACACGTACAGGAACGGCCCACATTGGTATTGTGTCGTGCTCTTTGAAGGGAAATTTGAGATCTTCTAACATTTTTGCATTAGTATAGCGATTGAAAGGCTGAATGTAGTTTAAGAAGCCATCCATTGCAACAAGCACAAGTAAAATCAACCAGTCACATCTGTGCTTTTTGGCCACCTTAGCCCCATGGGATCTCACCGTGTGCCCTCCAAACTCTATTTCCGGCATCTTCACCCGTATTATTCTGTTCCAAAATCATCAACATGAACAAGAAAGTTATGAGTGGATAACATAAATGTTGCTAAAAAAGTGAGGCATTATGAAAATTCCGAATTCAACAATTCTTGAATTTTCAATCGCCAAAAAATGTTTAAACTGGAATCTTTAAATCGTTTTAGGGATGCTGTTTATGCATGACCAGCATGTATAATCAGAGATTGGGTAGATTCAGTTAAGGCTTTTAAGACTAATTAAAATATGAATGTCGCCTAGCTGGCAACAAATTAAGTATGAAAGACAATCAGTAAAATATGACTATCGTCAATGTAACAAAGAACATATAACAATGATGTATAATTTGTTACAGGAATTGAATAGAAAATCATTAAAATGTAAATAATTAAGGAGTAGGAAGAGAACCTTTTCATTCAAGGTACAGAGAGTTGCCGGAAGAATTGAAGAGAAAGACGGAACGAGATAGTTCAGAGGCTAAAAGTTGCCTTTTAATAAATTAAAAATGCAAATTGAATAGATAGAAAAGAGAAGGAGAGGGCGATGTATTCCTGGGTTGGGGAGCTTTTCCTTTCCAGGAACACATGCAATTGGAAGGGACAAACGTTCTTTGGTGTATTAAGACACTCGACGTTTATTTCATTTTCACCTCTAATAAAAACAACGGGTCACACGCAACTGGAATTGTTGTAAACAAAAGTATTCAGCGTCAATAACTTGACAAACCAACCAAATCTTGACGAACCAACCATTTAGGGTGTATTTGGTCTCAAAGAAAATATTTTTTAATTTTTTCATATTTAATTGGCTTAAATATTTGGAAAAACTTTTTTCGAATGAATTTATTTTTCTCTAATTGGAGAAAAATAACTTCCCTACTAAAATGAGGGAAAATATTTTTCATAACTCTTTTTTAACCTCCGAAACCTCACCTCTCCACTCCCCACCACCCAAACCCCACCTCCTTCATTTCCCTCAACAAGCGGCGGATTTAGGGGGGCGGAAGGGTGTTCACCCAAACCCCCTTCCCCGAAAAATTACATTGTATATATAAGGCAAAATCTGTTTTGTACCTCTATATGTTATGTTTTGAATCCTTTTGACCTAGGCAAAAATTGTAGCTTAGTGGTCAAGGTGGTTTAAAACTTTTATAAGGTCATAGGTTCAATTCCTATTATCTACAATCCTTTTTAACTTTTTTCTTTTTGAACCCACTTCGCGGAGATCCTGCATCCGCCACTGCCCTCAACCTCCCTCTGCCACCCCCCAACACCCCTACCCTTGCCACCACCAACCCGGCCCCTAATCCCCGGCCTACCACCCTCCCGGCCCTTACCCATTTCAACTTTCATAGTGTTTTCTTAAATTATATATTATTCCAAAAAAAAATTGCTACCTAACCAAACATCAAATATAAGTAACAAAACTACTTATTTTCCCAAATAATATTATCCAAGGAAAACATTTTTCTTCATACCAAACACACTTTTAAGAGAAAATATTAAGTGTAATTAATTCCTTTAGTTTTAAAACAAAATTCCCTGTTAGTAGAACACTAAAACTACTATTCATAATTCAAAGTAGATATATAAAATTAGCAAACAATATTTGCCAGGTCAACTATGGCTAGTTAATAAAGAACCCATCCTAGCAAATCCTTCTTCGATTATTTTCGAAGTGCCCTCCTTTTTCTTTTGACAATTGATATCCCCTAGACACTTTTCGTATTTGAAGTTTCGTACTATTAAGATTGTATAAGTAGTGGAGAACTCATGATTTTATCCAAGCGGGTTTAGAAAAAAAAATAATATGTAAGTTAGAAATTTAAAATTTGCATTTCAATTACGAGATTCCTTGTCAAATATCAAAATTCTTGTACGCTCTAAACAAACAGAAGTCGTTCATATGATTAAGAGACTATGTCATAAAGTAATATTTAAAAATATAAAGAAAAAGAATCTTAAAAAAAATGAAGGGCCAGCCCGCCCTAGCCCGCGGCCATCTTAGGGCTGGGTTGGGCTGGCCATTTTAAGGCTCATTTAGATGGAGGGTCGGCCCGCCCTAGCCCACCAAATTTAAAAGCCAGCGAGGCTTGGGCTGGGTTGGGCTGGGCTGGCCCGTTTTGNAATTGATATCCCCTAGACACTTTTCGTATTTGAAGTTTCGTACTATTAAGATTGTATAAGTAGTGGAGAACTCATGATTTTATCCAAGCGGGTTTAGAAAAAAAAATAATATGTATTAGTATAATCGGCGTAGGGTATTCCAAGAATATAAGGTTTGATCACTTTTTGTTCTGAAAAGAAAATCTCAAAACGAAATCATTTTGAAGTCGCGCTTTATAGTTTTTAACAAATTATTTTAAAAAGATACAAATGGTATATGTTTCTATTTTTAACAATTTATCTATTTAATTTAACAGTTTTTACTTCAAGAAGTTCAGTTAAAAAAAGTACTAGCTCTAAGATATTAATATAAAATCTAGAATTTTTCTTGTTATTATTTTAGAAGTTTGTATTTCTAAACAAAAGAGAATAAGTAAATTTATAAATACTAAAATAATTTCAATAATAAGTGAAAACGAGTTATAACCAATCCGAAAATTCAATATAAAACAAATAAACATTTCAACATAGACTAAAATTAAATCAAGCTAACAAATAAATAATTTGAATATGATCGTTAAAATTTGAATCAAAATTCATTTTGTGGACAGGTTTAATTTTTTAGTGCAAATTAAACTATAGAATAATCATATTGATTTCAAGTAAAGGAAATAAAGTAAAATAGTAAAATGTCAAAAAAGAGGCATGGGACTAATAAATTCAGATGGGACAAATTGTCTTTGCCTTATGATACGTAAAACTCCTTCGGCCAAAATTTCATTTTGACCAAGCACCGAATGGATTCAATCCCAGTACCACCCATACGTTTTAAACCCACTGGACAAACTCGACAGACAGCACAATTGCGCCAAGCGGGTTCAAGTTATTATCTCTATAAGCATTTTTTTTGTTTCAAATACAATTTATTTATATACACAGTATAATTTTTCATCAAAGCGGATTCAACTGAACCCGCTTGACCTTTAGTGGATCCGACCCTATATATAAGAGTGTGGCTAATATGGTAAAAGAAAAAATCAATTATACTTTTTTGGACCCCTTTTTCTTTACAAGTTGGAATTCAACTTCTAACAGAATGAATTACAGTTAATGTAATAAATATTTTTATAGGGGAACAAAATGAAGTTAATTCACAACTCTTGTTGTATGGGCCAAAAATTATCATAATTATATGTGAGTTTATAGCGTCGATCTTGAATTAGCACCCGTCCAACTGGCTTCGCAGTTGAACCAGCTGATCCTGATGGTCGCGGCATTGGGCCTCCACGCCCTTACCTAACTCGAGCTCCTCCTCTTTTCTCCTCAACGCTATTTCTCCACGGCCGCCATTAGCTCCTCGTCGTTCTTCTTCAGGTTTCTCTCAAGGCCGACATGTCGCCATCCTCGCGAAGTTGCCTCCAAAGGTCCCGGTACTTCCCACGGTACTCCTCGTACTTCCCCTTTAACTTCACATATTCTGCCTCTTCTCCCTCTGAGCACTCCAAATTTCCAGAATAACCGTCTACAAATAAATGGAAGGCAAAAGTTAAAATTTGGAAACAAGTTAAGACGAAGGAAAAAGAATGATAAATAACCACACTTACCCTGAGAGCGAGGCTGGCAAAGTTCTTCGACAAAGTACTGTTGGTTAACTTATTGAGAGTCACACGCTCATCCTCGGAGCAAAGGGGACCGAGAACGGGAACCACCTCCTCGGTATTTCTTAGCAAATCACAACCCATTAGAATCGTGGTGGTCCTTGAGCCCCACTCCATCCTCACCTCGATCTAAGTGAGCCCCTCATCAATCATCCTGAGATCGTCAAGGTCCATGTCGGTATCTGATTCATTTCCCTCGTCGATAACGTCCTTTCCTCTACCCTCGTCCTGGAAAACATCTAGTGCCGGCCTGGAAGATGAGGCCTCTTCTTGCCCTGCAGGCACGGAGCTGACACTAAGCGTCCTCCCCATCACCATCTCCTCCTCGGGGCGTAAAGGCACACCATCATCAGCCTTTTCTAGTGGCCTTGGAGGTCGCCACAACATCATCTCCAATGTGTATCATCGCTGTCTCCCGAAATGTGAATTCACCTTCTACAAAATCGATGACCAAATGAACTCCCTCTCCTACGTCCACATCCTTCCATTTGCGGGGCCTCAGGTCCCCATCACGAGGAGTAACTTCATCATCTTCATCGATGAGTGAAAACGAGGAAGGTGCAGGTGCAACAACTGAGATGAGGGCGGAGACGGAAGGCGCAGCAGCCAAAATAGGGGCGGAGGTGGATGACGCAGCGGTCCTTCTCCTTCTAAACTTTGGCACGGGTGCCCTGTTCCTTCTTGTATCCCCCCTGACAAAATCTAGAAAAAAGCGTAAGAATTAAATGCAACAACGACATAAGTCGCTACGAATACGATAATGACCAAAAGAAGGAGATTACCTGTCGAGGGGAGAGCCGGTTTGAACTTCTGAAAGAAGCTCGGCCAGTCACGAATCCCTACGGTGTAGGGGAAAACTTGCCTAACCTAGTCAGCTAGGCACACCACCAAAGGAGGAGGAGGACTAGTAGCTGTAGAAGAAGAATGGTTACTCGACCAACTTGGAATGAACAAGATACTTAAAAGGGTAAAAGAAAAAAAAATACGAACACTTACGTGTATGGTTCCAAGACTAGGGGACACCATTAATATCGACCACAACAGCCTCAGTTTTGACAAAAAAGTAGTCAAGCCAAAACTGCCGCCTATCCTTATCGTCCATCTTCACCACCAACTATTTGCCTCCATGATGTCGCAGGTTCAACGTCGCCCCCTATAGAAACTAGGCATGAACAAATGCACCAAGTGTTACACCATAACCTCGACCCCAACAAGTTTGGTGAACTTTGATTGCATTTTGATAACCTTATAAACATAGGAGAGAGCTAAGCGGGGAAAATTCCGTAATGATGGCAAAACTCCTCCACTAGCGGGAGAAGGGGGAACGAATAACCAATGGTAAACGGTTAGGCATAGAGAGCACAATACCTAGGATGGTGAACGTGCACTTCGTCCTCAGCAGCAAGGATTAATTCTACATGGTTGAGAAGGCTAAATGTAGCTTTGAATTCAGCCAAATGCGTAGACGTCTTTGACGATTGAAATTTTCTGGTCATCACGTCCAGTGACCGTTGAAAATCGAACCTAGCATCAAGGTTATGGAGGATAATCTCCTCCACTAAGGAAAAAGCTTCATCTTCTGCGGTGGTAATGGCGTACTCCCCGTGAGTAGGGAATACCACAGTCAAAGGGATGGCAGGACTCTCTTCATCAACTAGAAAGAAGATTAGACATGGTTATGAAGTTTATAAGAAGATGAGAGTATGAAAGGAAGTTAAGGTTCAGAAGGCAAAGAAGACTCAAAAAATGAATGGAATTTATGTAGAGCAAGGTATGAAAGGAAGTTTGAATAATGAGGAAAAAATCCCTATTTATAGAGATTAAGGCATTAAACCTGAAACGGTTCATCATAATTAGCACTAGA